GCCCCCTTCCTCGTGTGTGAATTGATGCGACAAACAAAAGAAGCTAATTTGCCGCACTACGTGCGTGTGTATGGCGAGCTCTCTCTCCCACCCACACATACGCACGGACGCACGTACGCTGGCACATACACGCGCGCCCGCGCGCGCACACACTCACACAGAGGGGAGAGGGAGGCACCCATGTGGACCTGCTAGGCTCCTGGCTAGACCGGTTTCCGGGGGGAAGAGCTTTGTCGCCGGAACATGACGCGGTAATGTGACCGGAGCGCACCGGAAAGGCAAGCGCGTCCTGTTCACTTCCGGTCATCATCCCGTAGCGCACCATCGGCCATAACCCCGCCCAACGACATTCCCCCCGTTTGGTGAAGCAGGGGGCGGGGCGGCGGTGTGTCGCACTGGCAGTCGCTCGCCAACGATGCATCGAACGGCGGCGTGGTGCATGCCGGCGGCGAGGTGCACGCCGGCGGCAAGGTGCACTCCGGCGGTGTGCAGCAGCGGGGCTGGCGGCTGCCGGGGGCGGCGCCGCCGTCGTTGGGCAACGCCAAGCTCAGGCGCCCTTACGTCGGGCGTAAGCGCGCGCGCACGGGGCGCCGGCTCCGCGCGGGGCCCCAATTTTCGACGCCTTTTCCTCCTGCGCTCCACGCAAGGAAGGCGTTCACTTTCTAACGCCCGCCTGCCGCTGCCGCCCGCTGCCGCCTGCGCTCAGGCAGGGTGGCGTGGGGGAGGTATGGTAATGGCACAACGCACGTGACTCGGCGCGGCGCGGCGTGGCGTGGCGGGGCGCATTGCGGAAGGGTAGGGGCCCCGCGCTGGCCATGTTTGGAAGCTGGGGCCGGCGGCCGGCCGGGCTTGGGCGTAGATCTAACTGCTTCCATCTCCCTCGCCATTCGTCCGCCGTTCGGCCGTATCAGTCGTGTCCGTCCGTCGGTCCGCCCGACGGTCCGTCTGTCCGCGCGGGGCGGGTAGTCGAACTCGCGACACGACGGATGTGTGCAGGAAGGAGGTCGCGGCCCGGGTTACCCGCGCGCGCCTTCGGCCCCACCGGGCCCCACCTCGCGGAGCCTTTTCTTTTTCCTTCCCCGCTGAGCGTTCGGCGGCGCCGCGACGTTGCGGGGCGGGCCGGGGCGGGCCGGGGTAGGGCTAGCCAGAGATAAGATCCACCTGCCGATCGGCATTGTGGACCCGGCGGTATGCCCCACGACGGGAGGCCGGCCGCCGGCCCAGCCGCGGGACCACCCCGATGGCCCCGCACTGCCTCCCCTCCTCCCCCCTTTTCTCCCACCGGTGGCAGGTTGTTACCCAGCCTGAGCCTGCCTGCCCTGCCATCTCATCGGGATCTGGCGGCGCTCGGATATGGGTCAGAGTTGCATAAAGGCGATACATAAACGAGGCCATCAAAATCCGTACCGCCCCCGCTGGCCCGCAGCTTCGAGCCGCGCAGCTCCCCGCGGGACTGCCGGCAGGTGCCCGCCCCGCTCCGCGGCCTGGCCCGCGCCCCCGGGCGCCCCGCGCCCACCCCACCCCGACTGTCGCTGCGGGAGCGCGCTTTTTTCGGCACACGTTTACTAAAGCCCGGCTCCTCGTTAATCTTGTCCGAAGTTTCCCTCGGCGCCGCGGCGCGTCGCTGCCGTGCCATGCCGCCCACTTCTTCATACCAACACCACCCGGGCCTTTTCCATACTTATCGTCCTCCTCCTATCTTCCCGCTATACTTCCAATATTTCTTTAGTGTTTTTTTTTTACGCAGTTAGATCTCTTTTATCGCACTGCTTTTACCTTTACCATTGTAAATCGTAGGTAGGTTTACAGGAAAATTTTCCTCGACGCAAGTTGTAAAATTACAATTTGAAATCGTAAAAATACATGCAGTAAGTATCGACTTAAAATCCATTGGCGAGTAAAAAATCTGCTCTCGTAAATTTACAACATAAACTATAATTCGAGTTTACAATTTTTTGGTAATTTACGACGGTATTTTTAACAGTGACTCCTTCATAAAGATCGTTCGATATACTCCATTATCGACTAATAAAAACATCAGAAAACTCGAACTGATATTCATTCGTTTCCGTTTCTCAGGCATAGGCAGGTCATTTTAATTTTCGTTGGAGTAGCGCTCTCGTGCGCTCTCGTGCGCTCTCGTGCGCTCTCGTGTCAGGCGACTGACCGCCCGCCCTGTCACCATTTGGTGTTCGGGCTGCCTCTCTCCCTGTCGCATCGCCCTGCCTCATAGCTTTCCGTATTGCCCCTCGCCCTGTCCCATAGCTGCGCGGACTATCTCTCGCCTTGTCCTCATGTTCGGACCTATACTCTCGTTCTGTCTCATCATAGCTGTCCGGACTGGACTGGCTCTCGGCCTGGCCTCAGGGGGGCTCGGATGGCCTCACGCCCGACCGTGGCCCATACGTTCCGCTCCGGTACGGGGGTGACTGTCCCTGTCCCGCCCGAATCGGACATCCGATTGCGAAGGCTCGACACGTCCATGTTCGGGGGCCTGGGCCTCGTAGACATCGGAGAATGTCCCGCGCCGGTCCTCGCCGCCCGCCGGGAGTGGCAACCATCGAGCCGCCCCTCATCACGGCCCGTTTGGGGGTCAGGCACGTCCTCGTTCTGATTACCGATAACCTTTTCTGTAGACTTTTGAGGGATCATATCAAGTCACTTATTTTTACAGAAGAAGTATAGGGGAGGGAGGGGGGATTGTTAAAAAAATAAATGGAATGCATGTTAGTTTTGAGAGGGGTAATAAAAAGAAGTTAGGCAAGTGCGAGCCAGTGACAAAGCTGGTATGCCTTTTGCCGTTGAATAATTCAAACGGTTACGTCCTCGAATGGAGGAGACTGCTGGTTCTGAACTGTGTCAGCGGGGTGCAGGTGACATTGCGACCTCGGTGGTATTGCACTGTGTGCTCTGCACTGCCCTGCCTCAGCACATACTGAGCTACTGAGC